AATTGCAAGTTGACCATTCCCTATATGAGTGCTTTCTCCTCTCTCCTTTTATGTCTCTCTAGTGAGCAAACACACTCTCCAGCCAAAAGAAGAAAATGTATTGTACTAAAGGAAATCTGTTGAAGTACATTTTATCCTCAAAACAGCAACTTTTTTCTGAAAAGACAAGGAAGGATACAAATAAAATTAACTTTATTTCTTTTACTATTATTATTATTATCCAAAGGTATGTGCTCTCATCAGAGAGGGAAGAGGAGAATGCACCCTCAATGAGGGATGGTCACACCACAATCCTTTCTCTTTCATTTCTACATCCCATCAGGAATTTGGGCACAAAGGTATTCAGGCTGTTTTTCAAGCCACCAAGACAAGAATTCAAATTACTGTCAGCTAAGTGAGATCTGGCTTCCTTTTCAAAACATTTAACTGCTGTGCTATAAGTCAATCCAACTTTATTTCTTATATTAACCCAACATAGAATTATATCAGATCAATTCAAGAAGTCTTGTTGAAATAGCCCCTTATAACACACTATGACCTGTCATCTATCAGAAAATGCTAGTAAAATTTATCATAGATTATCTCTAAATTTTCACAAATTAAGCATATCAAATATTTTCCTAAGTGTTCAATGGGGATAAACCAAGTCCTTACTGTTGACAAAAAAATTCTGGATAAAAACCAACTATTGAGGGAAAAAATAATCTCTAATGGAGAAACAGGAAAAAAATGTGAACGAGACTGCGATTAAAAAGGCAGAAAGTAATGTTATAAAACAAAAGGGCAAGTCTGAGGTATAGCAGTTTCCACTTATCCAAGAATAGTCACCAAACAACAAATAAAGTATGTCACGAAAATATTATACTTTAATAAGAATATATTCAACAACGAACACTTAGCTCAATGGAGATAGTTATAGTCTAAAATCACATTAAGTCCAGCTCTTCCATCACATCTACCACATGTAATAATGAAGAGGAAAAGATTCAAGGTGAAAGATATTGTTCCCTACAGAAAAAAATCTAAGTTAAACTTTTAAATAGTTGGTTTTTTATACTATAAGAACAGCAGAGATAGTAGGTTTAGCCAATTAAAAATATAATGCAGGTCCAACACGTGGCATGAAGGTTAAGGTGGTTGAATCTCACATGGCCAAATGTGTAGTTAGCGTACCACACTGTGTGTGTATATATATTCACACACGCACATACACGAACAGATTTAAGAAATTTAAAAAAAGATAAATTGTTTTTCTACCTTAATCAGTTCATAAAGTAAATTACACAATGCATATATTTTAGTATCATGTAAATATACACTTGTTTTATTAATTTGAATTTGTTGGTTCTCTTAAAAAATGTAATCTATATGTCAATCCATTATTAAGGAAAAATAAGGAAAGAGGAAAGAAGAAAAAAAAGAAATATTGATACTTTCTCCTAAAGTATTATAATCCTCAATACTATATCAGCAATTTTTGTAAAAGTTCCTTTAAAGGCAAGAACTTTTAAGAAACAGTCTGTGGAATTGAGAAATCTCAAGCTCATCTTGCTTAATTAAGTTACATCCCCAACATCAATTCTGCTTACTCTTCCTTTCCACATACCTTTTTAATCCTACTCTCTTTGCCCTTCCCTTTATTCCTTCTTTCTCTCCCTTCCCAATCTCTCTCCACCTCCTCTCGTCTCTTTTACTCCTCTTTACACACACACACACACACACACAAACACAATGTGTTTAATTATTAGCCCAAAATAAGACAATTCAAAAGGGATTATCTAGACCAATAGTAGAAAGAACAAAAGCATATGTTAAGTAAGTAAAATAGCCATATTATTTATTGGCTACATTCTCAAAACCAACCTTGTACCAGATAAATCAGTGGCGTCAAGTCTTGACAGGCGTAACTCCAAAATCTCATAGAGTTTACTTTTCTCGGTCATATTATGGGGAACAGTGGGAGAAGGAAACAATCCCAATCTTAAACCCCAGTGTACAAAAGACACAATTTTAACTATTTCAGAAGCTTTACATATCATTGTCCATCTCAATAGATAACAGCTTGGATAAAGCATGTCAGCAATTACCATTTTCCTCAATGCACCTTCCAAATCCACAGGTAGAAGGATTGATTACCATTTACAGCCAGGTTGCACTTTAACCTACAGTTCACTCAGAGCTTTAGTTTCAGATTATAGCAACTCACATAACTGAACACGTGAATCTATGTTAGCCCAGTATCGGAGAGTTTAAGGATATTCATTTAAACATTAATTTAAAACTCTCGAAGAAACTCTTTATAGGTGATTTTATCTTCCAACCATGTTTAAAACACAAACAAAAACCGATTTCATTAGAATACTTTGGTACAAAGTAAACCTAGGCTAAATTGAATGCCAAGGCCTGATCTATTAAAATTATACTTTACTGATTTCAAATAATAAATGTTATTGAGGAGGATAAAAAGACAAACAGGTGTTTGTATCATTTGAAGAACTCACTGATCATGTTACTATACAATGCAAGTATCTGAAAAAGCACAAGTTACCAAAGCTGTGTTTCATCAGAAGAGTGAAGATTTGTTAGAATAAACCAAAAATAAAATCTATTTTTCATTAAAAGATAAAATATCATTTTACTCAATACAAGCCTCTTTTACAACTACCTAATTAGCTTGATAAAATAATAAATCCATGAGAAGAGCTCCACTGCAAAAGTTTGTTTTTAAAAGACTGTTTAAAGGTAACCTTTAATAAACTAAGGAAACAAACTAAAGAAGATCCTAAATCTGTGGTATTAAATCTATTCTTTTTAAAAATGGTAATAAAGACATTACAATTTATGAAATCTCAAGTGTCTACAATTAAATACCATAATCCTACTCCATTTAACTTTAGTAAAATCATATTACTGAATGATGGACCACTTGAAAAGATACTATTGCAATAAACATTTCCCCAAACACAAGCAAAATTCTACTCTTAAATACAATTTAAAACTATAGAACCAAAAAGAGGGAGAAACATATATAATACAGGAACTCATAGCCCACCTTTCTTCTTGACTGGCATTCTTGGGTCTTTCCACTGCCACAGGATACAAGATCTCTTTTTAGGTCTCAATTTGATTCAGCTGGATTGAGGCCAAGAGCCAGGTAACTGTTGCAAACCCCTTCACTGTACAGCTTTGAAATCCAGGCTGAGTCTTCTATATTAGATAAAGAAAATAGTGATGTATTTTTTCACAACTAAACTTTTTACACTGCCCACAGTGTTTAGAAAAAAAAAATTTCAAGTTTTCAATTTTTAAAAAATATTTCTTCGGTTAAAAAAAAGCTGAGAAAATTATTGTAAGCATAGAAGATGACATATTAAAACTCCTCTTCAGGCAGCAAAATTTTTGGAAGTTCAATGACTAACTCAAGGTGCAAATCTAATTTAGACAGCTGTTTCATTACTTTACACATGATCAAATTCAAAGATGAATTGATTGATGATAAAAGATCCTCAATTCTTTAGGGGAAAATTTAAACTCCTCCCTCCCCCCCCCAAAAAAAAAAATACTTTTGCAAAATCTCTTTGACTCTGTTCTCTTAAAAGGTGCGTGAGTTTGAACAGTTTTTCTGGAGCAGAACACAGACTGAAAGGCCCCTTTCAATTTACTGGACCAGAAGTTCCGGATCTCACCCCCTCAGTAAGACAGAATCCAGCTTGCTGTCACTCTCATTTTTTTTCCCCTTCTGTGCTCTCCAAGCCCTCAGGGTTGGTCCTTAATGCCCCTCTGATTCTGATCCTCCCATGTATTAACCGAGAGGATTGAATAGAAGAAAAGCAATCCCTTGGCATGGAGACATTAAAGTGACAGTGCTACTCAGTGGGCACTTGATGCAGGATGAGTTGGCGAAGCAGATTTCTTCACACTGGAGTCATTCACATCATGCCATCTCTTCTCATCCAAGCAGCTCCCTATCCGGCGAGGAAAAACACTGAGACTGTTCGAGACAAGCCAAACCTTCCCCCAAAGGTGCTTTCAGAGACGCGGTAGTAGTAACAGGCAGGTAGGCATAAGCTATGCAAACGGTCTGCGATTTTCCTAAGCGAGAGTGCGATTGCTTGGCTTCCACATCCACCCTTTCTCTCAATCTCTCTCCAAACTACCCACCTTCCTTTTGCAGAAAAAGGCAAGTCTCTCTGCCACCGCTGGCCACCCCTGCCCACACCCCGTTCTTATATAGAAGAGCACTGAAATGTCCTGCACCCTCCACGCGATGAAGTGTTTCCTCAGGCAGGAGAAACAGCAGCACTAGAAATTATATAACTCTCGAATTTGGCTTCTCTAAGACATGGAGACTGGAGGGTCGGGGGTTGCCGGTCTGGCAGGCACAGCTGGGCATTGAACGTGCACAAAAGGGCGCCAGGCCTCCTCGCCGCGCCCCTCACCCTGAAACACCGACTGACAAGGGGGTCTTCTCAGGAGGTGGGGAGCAAATGTCTCTCTCCTCTTTCTAAGGGGGAGGGGGGGGAGAAAGAACGTGAGGGGACTGAAAACTGGGGAGGGGAGGCGGCTAGTCGGGGATGCTCTGACAGCGCTGGGCGGCGGGCTAGGGGCTCTGAGGAGAGGTGTCCATTAAGCCCCGGCCTTAACACACTGGGCGGGTCAGAGGCGCGAGCTCCCTCAAGGAGTGAAAGGGCGCGCACCTAGTCCCCGGGCTGCCCTGAGAAGGCGCGCAGCAACATTCCTACACTCGGACCGCCCCAGGTTCCCCTCAGGACCGGAGAAGAGGGAGCGAGGCTGGCAACTAGCAGGGGCAGGAAATACAGGGCTGCCAGGGGGCGGGCCCACGACCGTCCCCGGAGCAAATGAGGGGCCGTAGTTTCTGGATGCGGCGCCCAATCACAGCCAGGACGGAGGGCGCGGCTTTTGACTGAGTGGGGGCGGGCCGGGCCTGCGGGCGCGAGGCGTGAGCAGTGAGCACTCGCCACTTCCCGCCCACGGCGTTCTGGGTCCCCGCCCACTTGTGGGTCACGTGGCCCACCAAGATGGCGGCGCTCAGGCGCGAGGCTGGGTCTGACCTGAGGGATGCAGGTGTGCCGGTGGGAACTGGAGAAACACGCACGGTAAGTGAAAAGCCAGGTACAAACCGTGATTTCTGCAGTCTAAAAATGCTGCCGGACACTTCCGAGATGATGCTAGTAAAGGGGACTTGAAAAAGTAAAGAGAATAGCTCCCAAGTTCATGCAGGGTGCAATTGATTAAGTTCCCAGTTTCTATGGGGGGGGGGAGGGAGGTGACCAGCAGTTAGCGTAATGGCTATGTCGCTGGACTCCTACGTAGTTAATCGTGGTTCGAGTCCCGGACCCGGCGGCTTAAACTCTCGCCGGGCGCGTGTGTGTGCGTGCCCAAGATCCCGAGAGGAGAATGGAGGAGAAGGGATTGCGGCATGGCCATCCCCCCTGGGGGGTGATTTCTCGCTTTCTGTCTCTCTGTCTCTCTCTGTCCTTCTGGCAAGCGCTCGCACCCTATAGCAAAAACCTCTTCAAAAAAAAAAGAAGAGGGAAAGTAAGTACTGTAGTCATGCACCTTGTTTTCTCTTGCCTCCAGACCTTTGTACCACCCGTCTAGTTGGAATACTTTCCTGCTTTTATCTCTCCCCACTCCCCTCCAAATCCTCTTTGGTTTAAATGTCACTTTCTCTGAGAGGCCTCCCGACACTTCCCTTACTATATTATATTTGCCCTTTTTATAGCACCCTCACTGTGCGTTTAAATTCTTTATTTTGTTTTGTTAGTTTTTGTTTGTCCTAACCTCATGCTAAATTGTGGATTCCTGAGGACTAGCTGTATGGTAGCTATATCTTCAATACCCGTGAACCTGGCATATTAGGAGGTGCTCCTGAAATGAGCGAATGTTGAATAAATTTCTGGAGGTCAAATGAAATAATACACATAAAAACACTACAAAACCTTAAAATAATATGCAAACTATACACCCACATAAATGCACCCTTACTGGTATAAGCTTGGCCATCAGTTGAGTGGCCTTGCACTACTTAACTTTAGGATAAAGGTTAAGTCTTTCTGAAGGTTACTCATATCTTTCTGTGATTTAATAAGGGAAGTATAATGAAAGCAATAGATTATTTTGACAGTCTAGGCACTTAATAAATATTTACTGTCTTGTTTTCAATATTCATCATTCTATAATAATTCTGGGTGTCTGTTTTCCTTATACATAGTGAAGGATGTAGACTAGGTAGAAGATTGGTACAAGATATTACCTAGAGCGGGCCAGCAGTTAGTGTAATGGCTATGTTGCTGGACTTCCATGTAATCAACTGCAGTTCGAATCCTGGACCTGGTGGCTTAAACTCATGCTGAGTGTGTGTGTATGCATGCATGTGTTCGTGCGTGCCCGAGATCCCAAGAGAAGAGTGGAGAAGGGATTGCCACATCGCTTTCTGTCTTGTCTCTTTCTGGCAAACACACGCACCCTATAGCAAAAAGTTCTCAAAAAAAAAAAAAAAAAAAAAGATACTACCTAGAATTTGGGGGGATGAGGATTGGGAGATAATTTTAATGAACTGAATGACAACAACAACAACAACAACAACAAAAAACCTATGTAAAGTTTCTGGTTAATCATCATGTTACTGATATCTGCCTTCATAGTACACTAGATGGATTAGGTATGTTAGAATCTTCCTTAGATATTACTATCAGAATCTTCCTTAGATATCACTCTCTCTCCTCTTCGGTTTTGCATTCAGATGTAAAAGAGTAAAACATGGAGGCTTATCCCTGAAAATTTATAATTTGTAATATTTTTCTCTGCCATCCCCAGATATTTTAAAGAAGAGAACAGAACTGGCTTGGGTACAGTTTCACCATGATGCAAGGAAAGAGAGTGTTTCCACTATTACTGATTGTGTAACACCATGAGAAAATTTAAAGGAGCCCATACCTTAATTTAAAGGAGCCCATACCTTCTTAACTCACATGGGCTGTGGATAAACTGACCCTTGCTTTGTTAGCATTAAGGTTGATGCATATCACTCAGCAAAAAAGTGTTACAGTGATGCTTAATATGTGCCCATCAGAGTGCTTGGTGCTATTAAAATGTAGACTAGCAGGCCTTACCTACTCCTATGAAATCCAGATATCTTAGGGGGGAGCTCAAGAAACTGCCTTTAAAATAAATGTCCATAGGCCAGCATGTGGCATGGTGGTTAAGGCACTGGATCCCAAATGACCAACTGTACAGTCTGAGTACTGGACCCTGCAGATTGAAAAATGCTGGGTATGTGTGCCCAAAATCTCAAGAGGAAAATGGAGGAGGGGGATGATTTATTACTTTCTCTCTCTCACTCTCTCTCTCACTCTCTCTCTCACTCTCTCTCTCTCTCTCTCTCTCTCTCTGGTGAGTGTATGCACCCTATAGCAAAAAACTAAAATAAATACATGAGATTCTTATGTACTCAAAGGTTGAAAACCACTGATAATACTATATTAAGTATCATCTGTGTTCATTATACTTAGTCTACTTTAATTATCTTGCCTCAGAGTCCTACAGTTTGAGATTTAGCAAATGGGGACTCGCAGTGGTGTGGTAAAGGCACTGAACTCCCACATGGCCAACTGTGGTCAAAGTCCTGAACCTGGTGGCTTCTTTTCTCACTTTCCCTCTGTCTCTCTCTGGTCAAATTGCAAAATAATAAATAAAAAGTTAAAAATAATTGTTTAAAAAATGTTAAAAAGGAGATTAAATTTGTGAAGAGCCTTTGATTGTTTTATTAATTCATTGGCTAATGTGGAGGAGATAGAGGAAAAAGCCTTGAACTGTGCATCTATACACCTACTTATTGTCATAGTAGGTAAACACAACCATAATTTTGAATTTGCAAGGAATGGCCATTTTTCCCTGTTTAAATAAAATTAAACACAACTCTTAAACCCCCTAATGCCAGGCCAGCAGGTGGTATAGTGGCTAACTGCATTGCTGACTGCAGTTGGAGTCTTAGACCCAGCAGCTTGAAATTCATGCTGGGCATATGTGTGTGTTTGCCCAAAATCCCAAGAGGAGAATGGAAGAGAAGGGTCTGTGGCATGGCCATCCCCTCTTGGGGGTAATTTCTCACTTCCTCTGTCTCTCTGGCTAGCACATGTGCCTAATAGCAAAAATCTCTCCAAAAATAATAATAAGGCCAGCATGGCAAGACTCTAGTTTTTGTTGCATTTTAACCTTACTCATTCCTCTTAAGATGCTACTTGGCCATGCCTTTCTGGTCTCTTGATGTTGGCAGGTCTCTATTCATCTCACTTGGAATTTTCCAACTCTGGAGCTCTGTGACATGGCTCCAGGCTCCCTGGTATACCACATAACCATTTCTGGCAAAAGCCTTGTCAATACTAGAAAGGCCCAGGAACTACTAGAAAACTGGATGTATAACTTACATAATCCAGGGTAGCTGTGATCCTCTGCCTCTTCCCAGCCTATAGTAGTGTCCCTCTTTCTGATTTTTCCCTCATACTAGTCTCCACATGAATCCCTGTTCTCTCCTACCTCTCCAGGAAACAACATAATCTCCAAAATGAACTCAGGCTTTGATGAGAGAGAGGATACATAGTTTTTAACAAGCAGCACTATTCCCATCTCCCTATCTGAAGACCTACAGCAATGAGCTTGAGCAAGCAGAGCAGTAGGGCCTGGCTACTTTCTTAGGATAAGGAGAGGAGTAAACTTGAGTATTTTTATAAATTATCCTACAGTGAGTCCGAGTGCAAGTCAACCTTTATAAATCCATTTTCTAATCTATAAAAATAATATGAACATTATCCTGCTAACTCCTTAAAGTTTTGTGAATCAAAAAGCCATTGTTTAATAGATAATAAGAACTCACTAAATGTTGACTGGATCCTTATCAGAATATGTTAAAGCAGATGACATAGTACCTGGCACGTTATTAGACTCTAAATGTTTGGTTTTTAGTCAAACATGGAATTTATATGTTTTACTTAGTGATATATTAATGATATTAATATATCATTAGCTATTATGGCTCTGGAATTTTGTGTTTTCCAGGACATCAAGATGACAACATACATACATGGTCATCCCAGTCCTTCTCTTGGAGATATAAAACTTGGAAGACCAATGCTTATCGAAATTATGGAAAAAAAATTGGAGTATCTTAGAAAAGAAAAGTAAGAAATATACCCAGACTGAAAGTCAATAACTTTTCTTGCAGATCTTGTGTATTCTGTACTTATAAAGCGGATCTAAAAATCCTAACTCTGTCGAGTTGGTCATGAAAAAAGCTTATTTAAAAATAAACAGGAAAAACTGCAGGGAAACATGGATAGATGAAAATGGTGGTTTGTTGAAATATTAGGATTGTGGTTAATTTATTTTGCTTCTTAAAAAAAAAATCCCAAGTAGGGCCAGCAGGTGGCATCGTGTTAAAGCACTGGATCCCACAGGGCCGGCTGCACAGTTTTGAGTTCTGGACCCAGCGGCTTGAAAAACACACTGGGCATGTATGCATGTGTGCCCAAAATCCTGAGGAGTTTGGAGGAGAAGAATTGTGGCATGACCATCCTCATGTGGGGTGGGGGGGTAATTTCTCACTTTTTTTCTCTCTCTATCTCTCTCCAGTGAGCACACACATCCTATGACCAAACAAAAAAAAAAAATCTAACAAAAAAAAGTTTAAAATTATTGCTGAACTGTTACTTCTGCAGTAAGTATTTTCTAATTAATAGTAATTAGGAAAAGACCATTGGAGAAGTACATATTTAGTTGGTGAGCAGTTAGAATTAAAATCAGTTTAGGGTTATCTCAACATGGTACTGAGTACAGCATTAAAGGAATTCAGATTTCATACTGTACATTTATGCATATTTGTGGCCAAAGTTGATTCTTTAAAAGAAGTGCTTTTTAGAACCACCCTAAATAATTCTCAGAAAATCATAACCCATTAAAATGCTATTTCTAGCCCAATATCATAGCACAGTCAGTAGCGAACTATGCTGCAATACTAGCCAACCACAAGTTTGGATCCTGAGATCAGCCTGAAAACATGATGGGTGGGCACATGCACCCAAGATCCTGATGCCTGCTGTGCTAGAGGGTTATGAAAAGGGGATCATAACATGACAAGACCCTGTCAAATTAAAGTTCATGTACAGTGAGGTAAGATCATTTGTTTTTTTGTTGTTGTTGTTCACTGCCCTGTCCTCAGCAATTAGAAAAGGCCTTTCACATATTAAGTGCTTAAGAAGTTTGTGATGTTGAGTAAATATGTAATAAATAAATCATTACTTAGAGAGGATCTACCCATTAGGAGCATGTCTTTTTTTTTTTTCCTTTTTCTTTTTTTTTAGGTTTTTGCCATAGGGTACATGTGCTCACTAGAGAGAGACAGAGAAACAGTGAGAGGGAAAGTAAGAAATCATGCCCCAGGGAGGTTGACCGTGCGGCAATCCCTTCTCCATTCTCCTCCTGAGATTTTGGGCATCCTTGCACACATGCCTAGTGTGATTTTCAAGCCACGAGGTCCAAGACCTGAACCAAGTCAGCTATATGGGAATTCAGTGCCTTAACATCATGCTACCTACCCACTGGCACCTCATTAGGAGCATATTATATTAAACTTTTCTCTCTTTTTTTTTTTTTTTTTGTGTTTGTGTGTTTTTTCCATTAGAAACTTAAATATACGTGGAACAGTATTCTTTGGAACAACAGCTAGTTTCTCTGGAATAATGGCAAATTTCATTTTCCGACACTGCTTCAAGGTTAAACATGATGCTTTCAAGACATATGCATCATTGACCACATTTCCATTTTTGTCTTCTATAGTTACTTATAAGCTCCTTGTGACTGATGCTTTGTATTCAGGTAAATTTTAATTCATTAATGCATAATGTCTAAGTAAAGTTACTTGTTAACATATGCTGATAGTAATTCCTTACAATTATATATTGCTTTGCCACTTAAAAAGTACCTTTACAGGGACCAACTATGGCATAATGGTTACATTACTGGATTCCAACAAAGTTAACCATGGTTCAAGTCCCAGACTCAGTGGCTTAAAACTCATGCTGGGTATGTGTGCATGCATGCACAAAATCCCAAGAGGAGAATGGAAGAGAAGGGATTGCTGTGTGGCCATCCTCCAAGGGAGGAGATTTCTTGCTTTCTGTCTCTGTCTCTCCAGCAAGCTCATGCCCCCTATAGCAAAAATCTCTCAATTAAAAAAAAAAAAAAAAAAGTACCTTTACAGGGCTAGCAGGTGGCATGGTGGTTAAGGGACTGGATTCCCACATGGCTGACCACAGTTCAAGTCCCAGACCAACACCTTGAAGATTAGGCCAGGCACATTTTCGTGCATGCCCAAAATCCCAAGAAGAGAATGGAGCAAAAGGATTGTGGCATGACCTTCCCCCAGAGGAGGTGATTTGTCACTTTCCCTCTCTCTGACAAGTGTACATGTCGTATAGCATAAACCTTAAATTAAAAAAAAAAAATCTTATATGTATGTATTATTCTGTATGATTCCCAGGGCAGTCCTGATCATGCAGAACAAGTAGTGTTGTCCTTTTCCTTATAGTTTTAGCCAACAGTGTGGCATATTTAGGTGCACTTAAGAAACAACATAATAAGGGCCAACAAGTGGCATAGTGCTTAAGGTACTGGACTCCCACATGGTTCACCACAGTTTGAGTCCTGGACCTCGCAGGCTTAAAATCATATCAGACGTGTGTGGATGCATGCCCAAAATCCCAGGAAGAAAATAGAGAAAGGATTACAGCATGGCCGTAGCCACTGGGAGGTGATTTCTCACTTTCTCTCACTGTTTTTCTCTCTCACTGCCTCTGTACCTCTCTCTCTCTCTCTCTCTCTCTCTCTCTCAGTCTCTCTCTCTCTCTCTCCCTCTTTCTCTCTCAGTGAGCTCCTGTGCCCTATGGCAAAAACCTTAAAAAAAAAAAAAAAGACAGAAAGAAAAAGAAATAAAGTAATATTCTGGAAAAGAACAGGCTTTGGCATACTCCATGTAATTTCAGATTCTACTTCCCAACACTTAAGTTTTGTGATATGATTTAATCTCTGAGTGATTTAATTCAGTGGTCTTATCTATGAATAGGTTAAGTGTTTCTAATCCAGAACTCTGAAATCTAAAATATTTCAAAATTCAAAATAAAAAATGATGCGACATATAGAAAATTTCATATATTGGGGTCATCAGATGGCATGGTGGTTAAGGCATTGGGTTCCACATGGTCGACCATAGTTTGAGTCCTGGACCTGGTGGCTTGATTTCTTACTTTCCTTTTCTCTCTCTCTTTCTTTTGGTCAAATTAAAAATCATAATAATGATGATGAATAAAATTAAATAATTTTTTTAAAATAAAATTCCATACCTCATCTCATGTAACAGGTTATCATCAAAATACTAAAATACAAAAATATATAAAATTACCTTAAGACTATGTGTAGGGACCAGCAGTTAGCGTAATGGCTATGTTGCTGGACTTCCATGTAGTCGACCACAGTTCGAGTCCCGGACCCGGTGGCTTAAACTCACGCCAGGCACGTGTGCGTGCATGCCCAAGATCCCATGAGGAGAATGGAGGAGAAGGGATTGCGGCGTGGCCATCCCCCCAGGGGTGATTTCTCGCTTTCTATCTCTCTGTCTCTCTCTCTTTCTGGCGAGTGCACACGCCCAATAAGAAAAATCTCTCCAAAAAAAAGACTGTGTATAAGGTGTATATGAAATATAATGGGATTTTACATATGGATGTAGGTCCCATCCGCAAAATATCTCATTTCATGTGTATGTGTGTGTGTGTGTGTGTGTGTGTATGTATACACACTGTTCGCACATACACACACACACACACACACACACACATGCGAATAGTATTCCAAACTGAAAAAATTAGGAATCTGAAATACTTCTCATTCTAAGCATTTCAGGTTGGGGTACTCAACCTGTAGATTTTAATTAATGAAATTATTGTGAGAATTAAAAGATACTGTATATTAAATGCCTAACACAGTATCTAGCATATTATTAAATACTTCTATTCAGAGATATATTCTCTGAGTCCCTCATGTAGGCTAGGTTTCCAGATATAGTCTCTGAATAATATAGCTTCAACCATTGAATACACTAATAATTATTTATTTAAATGTTTGCTTAATGTCTTTCTTCCTTGAACTGGCTAGAATGTCAGAGATCAGGTCTCTTTTATACATCACTATATCCCTAGCATCTAGTACATGCCAGATGCACATGCTAGATACAAAGAATCCAAATCTCTGGTTTGCTATTTTAATATTCTTTCATTGATGAATCAGCAGATGGTATAATGATTATGTTGCTGAACTCCCCACATTGTCAACCATGGTTCAAGTCCCAATACTGGCAGCTTAAAACTCAAGCTGGGCACATGTGCATGTTTGCTGAAAATCTGGAGAGAAGAATGGAGGAGAAAAGATTTCAGTGTGGCCATCCCCCCCTCAGGCATGACTTCTCACTTTCTGTCTCTCCAGCGAGTACATACGCCCTAGAGCAAAAAAATATAAATATATATATATATATATGTATGTATGTATATGTATACTTTCATTGAGAAATTACTTCTATAGTAACTACATATATAAGAGGTAATTCTCTGTTTGATAAAGTTTAGTAAATTTTTTTTTAAGTTTTTTGCCATAGGGCATGTTCACTCATGGAGAGAGACAGTGAGAAGGAAAGTGAGAAATCTTTCTCCAGGGAAAATGGCCTTGCCACATCCCTTCTCCTCTGTTCTGGGATTTGGGGCATGCATGTACATAAACCCAGCATGAGTTTCAGGCCACCAGGTCCAGGACTCGAACTGCGGTTGGCCATGTGGGAGTCCAGGACCTTAATCACTACACCAGCTGGCTCCAATAAAAATGTATTTATTTATTTTTCTGACAGATTTTTGCTATAGGGCACATGCACTCATATGACCAAGGAGGGGAATGGCCATTCCGTGGTCCCTTCTCTATTCTCAGGATTTAGGGCACATATGTTCCTGGTGTGAGTTTCAGGCCATCAGGTCCAGGACTCAAACTGTACTCAGCCATGTGGGAGTCCAGTGCCTTAAGCACTAGGACACCTGCTGGCTCCATAAAACCATTTTTAAAACAATGTATTTACTGTCTTACATGTCATAGAGTTTAAATTTCTAATGTTCCTTCTGTTGTTCCAGTGTGATTGAGAACAATGCAGATAACTATTCTATGAGAAACAATACTATCTTAACAGTTCCTACTCTAAGTTTAAAGGGAAGTCAAATTTACTTTCATTTTCCAGGTAATATAAGCAAGGAAGATTGTGTTCTGCGAAGTTCACTACTTGGCATCATTTGTGGTTGCTTATATCCCTGTGCTTTAGCTTTTTCTAAAAATGGGCAGCTGGCATTCAAGTAAGTCTGTCTATTCATTCCTTCTATTCCTTCTTCTTTTGTCCCCCCATCCCTTTTTATTTTTTTCAATTAAAAACCTCCTTATTCTTTAGCTATCAATTATACATTTTAATCAAAATATACCAGTTTAGTATTCTATACAGCTAACATTGAATTTTTTTTTGCTATCTATGTGCTAAACTTAGAATGGAAATTTACAGTGTAAGAAAATCAGTGAACTTCTGATAAAATATGTATCCAGGAGACATGATTAACCTTTTTTTCTTTTTTAGGTATCATACTGTTCCACTTCCACCAAAAGATTTTACTCCATTTTCTACTGCTTTGCCAAACAGAGATGAAGGCAATGTTGATTCCTCTGATCTTTCATACAATGTTTGGAATACTTAATGGTCTACAGCATTATGAAATATTTGAAGGGACACTAGAGAAAACTGTACATGAAGATTAACCAAAGAATCAATGGATGCCAAATTAGCAGAGTGGATTTTTTATGAGAACTCAGGCATTGATGAGAAAGTTAAAAGTAACTCTGGACAGATCATTTGTTTCTATCCCTTTTGCCTGGACTATAGCAGATACTCAAATATTTAGTAATTCAGTGAATGGAAAGGTAACAATAAACGTAAGCTTCATCTTTTGTGTTTTGTTGCATATGGAAATGGGTTTAGGGGCTCAAGGTCTAATCTGTACAATTATATATTCATTTATACATCAAACATTTGTTGTGCACCTTGCTATATCTCAGACTTTGTGTAACATGTAATAATAAACAATCCTTATGCAGAACAAACTGAAACTTAGAAGAGGAATAAGAAATGTGAACACACAGTATAAGAGGGTTTGAGAACTATACACTATTCTTTGGCAGCACTGAGGGTGTGATTGTTAACTACTTGGGCAGAAGGGAAGCTATGAGAAAAAAAAAACATTTGAGCTAAATTTTGAAGGAGGAATTGGAAATTGATGATAAAGCAAGGTATGGAAATAACAGCTCATTCCTATACACTCTTAATAAATATTAACTTCTTAATATTTAATAATAATAATTTAATAATAATAAACTCTTTACTGAGTAGTTTAAAGAACAGTTGTTGTG